ATATTGCTAGAAAATTAAACTAAGAATTATTTTTATATTTTACATGTAGTGAAGCGTGCATATCAACATTAAATACCGAGTGCTTCTATTTTTATATTACAATTTACCTATTATTCACTTAAAATATTAGTATTTATAAATTTATAAATTTACTTTTGACAAAATGAAAAATTGGTTTAATAATTTTACTGTTTATTTAAAGTGAGAGTCTCGTTAAACTGGTTCTATATTTATAATTTCTGGGGTCTATTAATATTAAATTTTAAGAAATAAAAAAAAAATTTATTATTATAATAGTTTTATTAACAAATTTACTAAGTTAAAAAATTAATTCATATATTGGGCATATCAATATGAATAGAAACTTGTTACTGACTATATATAAAAAAAAAAATTAATTTCTATTAATAAAATCGTTCTGTCGAGATAATAATTTTTTTTACACATGAATGTTTTAAAATGTACATTCATTTATTTAAATGACAAATTAATGTAATTTATTATAAATAATTTATAGGGAAAATTGAAGTAGAATGAAATTGAATTAGAACAAATATGGAGGAATAAAAATTTTAAATTCTTAAACTGACCAACATAGAATATAAATTGCTAATTAGTAAAATAAAAAACAAAGTAGTCAAATCCTAAAGAATTTATTTTTATAAACAATTAATATTATTTCTTTTTTTCTTTTTTCTTTTTTTTTTTCTTTTTTTTTGTTTTTTTTGATTGTTTTTTTTTTGTTTTTGTAAGAAACAGTGCGCATTAAAAATTGAAGAGAATTAATGTTCTTATTATTAAGAAATATTATACAATATTACTTTATAGATATTATATATTAATAATCACTTGGCCATCGATAATTATTGCAAATTTCGCAGAATATTTGTATAATATACATATAGTTTATTTTTAATGACGAACTTTGCAAGCATTTATTAGAAAATGTATTAAATAACAATAATAATCAGAATTGATAAAAAATTTTAATCAACTAGTACTACATATGTTAATGGGCTTCTGTCATTATTTATTCATGAAATTATTTTACCACAGTAAACAAAGACTTGATTATTTAGAACCTGTAAAGTAACAATAATAATTGTATATTCAGGTGTGAGTAAAAGTACACAATGGTCTAATCATTTAGCAAACATTTTTAGTTCACCGTGTAAAACAATGTACTTCTAAAAAAAGATATTGATGAATAACAATATTCTTTGTTAACGCAAATTGACATTTCTATCATAGAAAAACATTTGAAAGAGCTAAATGTTAGCCTTGTGAAATACGTAGGTAATCAGAGCTGTTGATAAAAAAAAATTTCTGAAAGTATCACATACAGAATTTCAAGCTTCTAAAGTATCCGTAAGAAATAAAATTCCCAGATGCCATGCTGGAGATTCCCTAGACGATTTGTTTCGTGAAACATTCATTGCTTTACCTACGCAAGGCACGTCAGAATTGACACAATCCAATTTCATAAGACGAAATGAGCGTCATGAAACGTAAATACAATTCCCAAGGAACGCCGAGCAAAATAACTCAATCGCGCGCATTGACAAATTAGTCATGTCGGTAGCAATGTTATAGAATTGTGTGCTACAGATCGATCAATCGATCGTTTGACTCACTATCACAGATTACCCGAGGCGGTGATTCATTTAGAAATACTGCTATTACAAAAATTTTGTAAGGAGTAGCCCTTTTTGCTGGTTTTACTGAAAATTTTCGTCGCTTGACATATTGAAATATTGAAATGCGTAATCCTCAGACGACGGCTTTGATTAGATTATTCAAACATTGATTTCTCATTATCAATTCATTTGTAATACGAGTAGTCTACATCCTATGGATAAAATAGTAAGTTAAGGTTAATAAATCAGCAATATTAGAAGAATTTTTTATTTTTATTTTTTTGTAAACATCAAAGAAAAAGTATCGCAATTCTTATTACAAGGATCAATTGGCAAAACTGACATAAAATTATATTGTTATAGATTTTTTGACGAGCTGCGCGTACGATAAAGTTTTTATAAAAAAAAAAAAAAAAAATGCTAGTAACTTATTTTCAAACTCATTTGAATCTTAATTATATATGTGTAATAAAATCAAGCGAATAATAATATTATACAATAGATTTTTATAGTGAAATAACCTTATTCTATACTTATTGAAAGTCGGCATTAATTGAAGTTGCACATAATAAAAGCATTTCAACTGTAATTCCAATCTTGTAAGAAAAAAAATTGAAATATTTAAAAATTATCCATCTGCTCTTTCATTTAATAAAGTGACCTAATCTAATAATAGTTGGCACAAATCAACATTGTTTATGGCACTGATTTTTTCATTAGGTATTGTTGGAGTAAGTTGTAAAACTCACTTTCCTCACCATTACCACAATCAACATCAGCACGCGCACCCGCCCACCCACCCACCCACACACACATACTAGTTTTAGTCATCACACACACACACACACACACACACACACACACACACACATACCCATAGAGGCGCATATATATATATATATATATCATCATAAACTGCGCTGTAAAACGTAGTCAGCGACGTATTAAAAGTTAAGAATTGTGTAGAAAGATTCTTTCTTATGCAACTTAAAAATATTCAAACTCTATAGGTATATGCTGGTCCTATTAGAATACGAGCTATTTCTGCAAAAAAATACAAAAATACAACAAAAACAAAACAAAAAAACAAAAAAAACAAACAAAAAACAAAACAATTGTGAGCCTTCTATGTTGCGGTAAATGCAAAAGAATAAGATTATTGCCAAAAAAAAAAAAAAAACACAAGATTGTTCTGGATACGGAATTTCGATGATCGACGTGGCGTGATTATTGACTTGATACTGCGCTGTTAATTTGTTAATTGTCATTGTGCGTAAATAGCGAACACGATGTACGACGAGAGTAGGCTTGCATTACCGACACCTACGCTTATGTCTATTGAACAACGGCCTATTCGATTTGGTTAGATGAATTTGGTTAGAATGGTTTTGCGTAGGCGCCATGTGCGTAATAAAAAATAACGGATGTTATGTTTTAACAGGGCGACTAAACGAGTAATGTTTTATTAATAGAAGAACGTTTAACTATTTATTTTTGTACATGAAAACTTTGTTTAATCTTCGTATAAGTTTATATAATTTAAAACTATATATAGTAGTGCATGTGTATTGTCGATTATAACAAACACGTATTTCTTATGATTTATCGAATCAATATTTAAGGACATTCCCACCGATAATTATATTGTAATGATTGAAGATGAAAATTGCACTAATCATAATTCAGTTTGTTTCAACATTTGAATACCAAGATAATTAAATGACATTTGTTTTTTAAATAAACAATTTTACATACTTATGTTGAGTATGAAATTATGAATTTACAGAATATTATAATATTAATATATACTTTAGTGATTTCTTATATAAAAATACATTTTATATTGTTAAAATTAAAAGGAAACTCTCTTAACGGCTTCGCAATATTTCTGTGAATCATATCTTGGGATTAAAAGTGAAATTAGATCTAAAAATACTTGTACTCTATTGGGTAAAGTACAAGCACGATCGCATCCATTAAAATTATAGATCCTACAATAGCATACAATAATAATAAATTTTATATTACTTCCAAATTTGTTTTATGCTCGACGAACTTTTACACTCTTATTTTTTCATCTTATTTACTGAAGTCAAATGTACATTCTAAAATTGAATCATATATAAATCTCATTTAGTATGTAGTATACGCGCGTGCATGTATGTGTGTATATGAGTGAAGTATTTAGATTTAGAAAAAATAATAAAGGCTAATTGTTGGAATTAGACACTTGTAATAGGTACACACGTAAACAAGCAACTGCTAATCGGCTAATTTTGCATGTAGAAAGTGAATTTTTAAATTACAAAACTGTTCATTCTATTTGCTTAAATCTATTCCTATTTAAAGTTTTAATTTCCTTTCACCGTATCTTTATGAACGTATACCTTTAATTTAAGTGATAAAAATCCCAATAGGCATAATATTTTTAACGTGCACATCATTTTAAATTATTATTATGAGGTTGTTTTTATTATGCAACGAAAGGTGAAACAATAACAAAATATATTGTTCTCCGTAAATGTATATTCGATATGAAGAATTTAGTAAGCTGTGCCCCAATACTTATGCTCTAAAATAATTTTTTTTTTTTTTTTTTTTTTTTTTTTTTTTTTTTTTTTTTTTTTGATCGGAAGTCGTGTAGTCGAGTTTATGAAAGATATTCTCAGCAATATAGTAAATAGAAAAATGCCAATAATCTATTTTCAAATACATTGCGTGCGTTTCATTTCAATCATAAATTATTATAAATCATCGAGAGAACTAAAATGAGAGTCTGTCTCGTCCTCTACACGAATATGTATGGCCGACGAGCAAGAAAGAAAATTGAAAAAGAGAGAAAAAAAAAAGAAAGCATTGACATCGATAGACATTGCACGAGGTTAGATATATAGAATATAGTGTGTCTAAAATAACGAGTGCCAGGACTCTTATTTATTATGATAATTGCCGTTTATGCCCAATTGTACGCATAACGAAGCGAGCGCGTGTAATTATTTCAGCCTTCGGAGCAATAAATCGACGTGCAAAAATCACCACGATAAGTAACGGCCAAAACCGCGCCGAAAATCGTCGGCAGCAACGAGCTCAGCCAGTAGTTACGGTCGTGGCGGCTCCGCGGCCTAGAGTAGGGGCACCGTAAGCGTAAGAGACGGAACACGAATAAGAGAGTCGGAAAGAGAACGAGAGCAAGACAGACATATCGACCGATCGACCGACCGACCGAGAGATGCAGAGAGAGAGAGAGAGAGAGAGAGAGAGAGAGAATAAGAGCGAACAAACGATCGAGTGAGTGAGTGAGCGAGCCAGTGAAACGGATAGAGAGAGAGAGAGAGAGAGAGAGAGAGAGAGAGAGAGAGAGAGAGGGTCAATAAAAGAAGGTGGCCGTCGTGGGGTGAGCCAGTGTACCGTTCGGTCAGCTCGTGGTAAGGAGTGTTTTCGAGCGGAAGTGAGGCGTGCCGGCGCCCGCGAGTGACTTTGATTCTAAGGCAGCCAATAATAGCCATTGGTGAGCCGCGATTAGTGAGGTGCGAATGAGGCCACCCCGACTGCCCGGATCACGAACACCCGAGCATCGACGAGCGTAACGCCTGAGGATGTCCAGCAGCGTGTGCCACGCGCCTCTCCCAGCCAGGATGGAAGCCTTCACAACGAGGATCTGCCTCAGGGCGGTCGACCAGTACGAGCGGCTCCTCCAGCTGCACTTTAAGAAGGTGACTCAGGACACCGGCTTCCCCAACCATTCGCTCGTTACCACCCATCCATATACTACACCCACCCCCGGCCCCGTCCACTCGTTGACCCTTCGTCTCTCCAATCCACCTACCTACCTACCTACCTACCTACCTACCTACCTACCTACCTACCTACCAACCCCTAGAGTCGCAACTTCGATTTTTTTATCCTCGGAACCCATAGACCGACGAAGCTTCGCCTCGAGTGAACAGCCCAGCCACCCGAAGCCCTTTTCACAAACGGTGGCCAATAATTTTCAGTCCACGAGCTGCGGCGAAAATCACTTGGTTGACTTAAGCGAACCACCACATTGCCGTCTCATTAATTAAATCACTAATTGCCTCGTCGACTCGATACTGTCAATTTATCAATTCCGAGAATTTATTAAAACTGGCGTCGCTCTCCTGCCTCTTATTCGCGATATTATTAATTTCACGCCATTAATCGTAGCACGTAATCGCTGCGTAAATTAAACTCTAATTTTTTTGCACTACCTTTACGGCGAATGCACGTGATATTTTCAGTATTGATTCAATGTCTTCGTAATGCATTGTCGGGACGAGCCTCGACGAAACGCCCGCGTTCATTACCCACGATAATACGGCCTCTTTAAGTACATCCGTATCGGTAATTAGTCATGTCATGTCGTATCTGCAATGAGACCATCGAGCGCGTCAATGCGCACGATTAATCGCTGCTCCTCGAGACCTGAAATTATAAAGCTCGGCCGGACGATTAAAATTCAAAATACTCCTGCAGAATGTGGGGAATTTATGGGGAATTTTCAGCACATCGTGTAGTGGCCCCACGTAACCGGCATTCATTGATTTTCGACCGCCGCTATACGTGGTTGTTGTACCCGAGATTAGTCGGGGATTAGTCGCCCCTCCACCCACCCACACCACCGCCATCACTTGTTCTCACTATCTATCTCTCTCACTCTCTCTCTCTCTCTCTCTCTCTCTCTCTCTCTCTCTCTCTCTGTCTTCATCTATCTCTCAATTTTTGGCTATGCCGTGCAATCAATCTTCTTGGTGGGTGGGTGGGTGGGGCGGCACGTAACCGGGGGATGATACTGCAAAATCGTCTACAACTACAGGAAACGCCGAATTGAAATTGAAATTGTTAAGATATCGGGCTCGTTGCTATAGTCGCTGATAAGTTCTCGCCGTGGATTTGGAATTGGCGCAGGCAACGCAATCTCGCTCGAGCGATTGCTCCATTTACAGCGATCGAATGACAATGTTTCCAGTCTCATTTTTATTAACTATTAACAAAGTATTTGCATCCGATAACGCATAACGTAACGATGATATGGATATGCACGGCAGGGGGGGGGGGGGGGGGGGTTGGGTTGGGGGGGGGGGGGGGGGGGGGTAGACGAAGAGGGTAGAGGGTAGAGGGGAAGGAAGAAGGAAACGAAACGAAGCACGACAAAACAAAAAACAAACAAAAATAAAAGAAAAATTGAATAAATGAAACGATAGTGCGAAGCATATAAACTTAGTAAATTTTCTCAATCGTTACTCTTTGACATTGAGCCAATACGAAGTTTCCGATAGCAGTTTAAAGTTGCGATTCAACAAAATCAATACGAAGGATAAAACAAAAATATGCATTTTTCCTCACATTACGCGAACAATTTCGTAATTTCATAATTCTCAGTGGCCTGCACGCACCTACATCACGCGTGCATTAATTTTAAAATAAATACAATTTATTCATTTAATTTGATTGCGAAAGTAATGGTGCTTTATCTCATATTTACATATTACACTCATTGGCCGATAATGAAATTAATATAAGCTTCGAATTAGCGAAGCAAAAAATTAAAAAAAAAAAAAAAAAAAAAAAAAAGAGAGAGAGAGAGAGAGAGAGAGAGTGAAAGAAAAGACTAAAAATACAAATTTAAGACCAAAAACTAATGATTCATTTTAAAGGAAATATAATTTTAATTGCGGGACACTCGCTTTTAGAATGCGCATTGAAATAAGAAATTATTTTCATTTAGCATATACAATTTTAGTTTTAGCTAAATATAGACGTGTTTACAAATATTGTCTTTCATTTTCATGATGATGTCGCGAGTAGAAACGTGCCAATGATTATATTGTCCTTCCCTTTCCGGAAATGCAATATCCCTGCTCTTTTACAAATTTACAATTTGTAAAGTCTTTTCTCTGACAGGCTATAAATCAATTTCTTCTCATATCATCGCATATTTGTGCCAAATAAATTGTTGCCTTTGTCGCCTCCTGGGAGTAAATAATTCCGCAGAAAGGATAAAATTTTCTCATTTAACGTTTTATGTTAATTTAGAAATACATTAATATCTCGCGATAATTTGTGTTATACATTTAAATAACAAATTTATCGATTACCGTGCGGTTGCTGCATTTGCTTTAACGTATGGATAAGCCAACATATTAACAAACGTTCCTATCGAATAAATAAATATCACGACGACAGAACCTGCGCTTCTTGGGAAAAGGAGGGAAGGAGCCAAAGAGAGTTGCAGGAAGTACCACTAACGCTGCGTTACTAAGTGCGCTAACAACGACTCGGGATTTAAATATCATTGCTCATTCGTCGCGTATATTTTGCTTCTTACATTTTAATTTCTTGTGTTAGGAGGTAGTGGTGATGGAGGAGGAGGTGGGAGGAGGAGGAGGAGGAGGAGGAGGAGGAGGAGGAGGCGGAGGGGGTGAACAGCGTGGGCGGTGATTGCGTGAAGATGGTGATGGCGGGGTGGGGCGGGAGGGAGAGAGGGTATATAGCATGCCGACTAGTCCACCGGTACCTGTACTACGCATGCGCCGGTAGTGTGTCATTGTAGCTCCCGCAAGAAAGAGTCGTAATGTTGTTAACTCGAGCACGACCATGACGATGACGACAAGAATACTAATGATTATGGTAGTCACGATTATAATTTTTATTCACTGTTATGGCACCCACTGGATGTCGCTTTCTTCGTCCTTACCTTATATCGGCGAAATTGACCTATCGTTAAACATTAAATTTTAAATGTAATTATCTTCGATTATCCATTCGTCCTAGTTTCTCAATAGTCGTGCGTGCAAATGAAATTATTCTGTCTGCTATGGTGAATTATAAAAGTAAAAGAGTAATGCAATTTTTTTTTGACTATCTTTTAGTCTTCTAGCTTTAAATATAACTTTGCACGATTAGGTCTTACTGAAGAAACTAGTTTTCCAATTCTAAAATGTTTCTTAGAATAATTCTCAGCGAGCGTCAATGTTTGTTATATTTTAGATTTTATGTATTTTTCAATGTTCTTGAATTGCTTTATATTATTGGAATTTTGTCCTATTTTAGTGCACAAACAGTTTACGATCGATTGGTCATTTCAAACTATTGGCTCGAGCTATTGGCTATATTAAATTTTTAATAATTTTTAATCATCAATGCCTTATATTTACTACTTAATTTATAAAAATATATGTATCTTTACATATATTTAATACAGACATCACTTATAAATTAACTTAATAGCAAATTCGACTTCGAGGAATAAGTGCATTATACGTAATATATATAAATACTTAATATATACAAATTCTTACAACCTAACCAATTTTGCATTTGTCTTCTGTACATTCTTATTCTACAAAATACTTTCACATAAATAATATATTTATATAATTGTATGTGTAGATTGAATACAGATTTTTTTTTTTTCAGTAATATAATTAATAGCGCACGGTAATTTGTTTATAAGCGTGGTACACGTGAAATTTAGTTGTCACTAAAATTCATGACAGTTCCTATATGAATCACGGATAAATATTTAATAATAGTTTTATTTATAAAATATTTATAAAAATATAGTTAATTAATGGTCACTGTGTCATTTCATTCTAATCGACAATACACAGTACATCCGTATGTAATCTTCCTACATCCTATATAATTCTTATTGATCTTCTTTTAATTTTCTCTCTCTCTCTCTCTCTCTCTCTCTCTCTCTCTCTCACTCACTCTTAGCTTTTTCGTTCCGTCATTTGCATATATAAATCTATACGCTTATGTATCAATGGATTTGTGTAGCTTTATAATTTTTACCAAGCTTTAGTGGATATAATACATTTAATCTTAAATTACTGTTCGCTATAACGCATAAATAATTGAATTGGAGGGTCAGCATCGGTGATTACTATGCTCGATTTCTTTTTAATATTGACATTCAATAATAATTCATTATACAAAGACTTTCATGACCTTGAAGGCATTGCTCGCTTTACAACACTTTGCTTTATTACAATACTTTAACTGTGTTTTTATGTTGTGGTTTTTAATAATCATCCAATATATTTTTCTAATATTATATTCAGCTTATTATTTTCAAATGTAATTAATGACTTTTGAAGCGGTACTTTCGAAACGGATAGTTTTTTTTAAGGAGAATCGCACGTCTCAATGCCGGCATCGCCGTATCTACTTGCTTATCTCAGCAAAATATTACGATTAAAAGAATAAGAGAATGAAAGGAGTGGAGTAATTGGGTCGAGCAGTACATGTAATTGCGTGTATTTGTCCTGAATTTTTAAGCTCGTTAATGCGCGAACAATGCCCGGATTAATTGAAAAAATTTTCCAAACCAAACTTCGTTGCGCACCGTCTTCGAGCAATGTCTCGTATCACGTATCATCTTCTCGTAACTAAAAGTTCGTAGACGGAGCAACGAATTTCTTACTTTCACCCAAGCGAGATGAGCCAGTTGCAAAAGCAGTTTCCTTATGCTCACTTATCCGAGAGGGGAGGAAGGCCGCGACGATCAAACGATCGCGCCGCACTATATGGATAGCTCGTGGCCACGAAGAAGACGCTGACGCTGCTGGAGGAGGGCAAGCGTGAAGCGCAAGGAAGAAGCGATAGCTGTTCTCTTACGTGCCGCGTAGAGGTTCGTTGATATCCGGTCGCCGATGGCGATATCCGGTATCGACCGCTGGACGCAGGA